AACGAAGAAGAAAGTGTCTGATCAGTTTTCTCTTACTCTACTTACTCTTTCCTCTGTCTGCGCTGCTCTAATCAAATGTGTACTTTTTTACCTGTTGATGAGTAAGTTTCCTTTGGTGAGCGGGAAATAGAGAAAAAAATATTTGAAAGAAATTAGGAAAGTTTGTTTTTTGAAAGAAATATTGAAATTAAGGGCTGTTTGGAGAGTCGGTTTTGGTAAGTAATCTTTGTGAACTTTTGACTTTAAAAGCAATGGCCACGCTCATGCTGAGAGCGAGAGAGAGAGAGAGAGATTTTCACATTTAATTCTCATTCAAAAGTTTGGTTTCTGTCTTGTGGATTTTTCTCTGTTTGAACAATTTGGCTATTTTATGAGCTTGCATGTCTTTTATAGGTCAGCCATGGTATCAATAACTAGACCATTGTGGACATTTTATCTCTGAAGGCATTTTTTTTCAGCGTCCCAAAAACCATCAAATTGATCTTCTCTGGGCCACCAGCTAAGGTTCATTTTGGTAAGAACCTAAGAGGATGTAATTTTAGACCCAACTGAAATCCCAATGTTGTATGCTCTCTGAAAATGGTGCTGTAGATGTAATTACTTGTTAGTAAACAAAGGAGTATATTATGAAACGCAATTAGTTTTTTTGAAGGCTTTGGGAAGATGAATCGCAATTTAATTGGTGGATTATAAAGATTAAAACTTGATAGGATTCACAACTTTTCAAGCCAATGTTCTAACCTATTCGTATAAAAATAACAATTTAATTTCGCCCTTTAGGGTACCCTACATTTTTTTTTCCAATGATCGAAATCATATATTTTTTCATGTAAGGATTTTGTTTCTTATGTACATTATTTGTTGTTTTACTCAATTCTTGTTAAGTTGAGGGCCTCACTAATAATGCCCTGCTCTGGTTTGTTTTGGCAGGAGGATGCAATGAGACATGAGAGAAGTGCCAAAAATAAATACGTAGTCTGATGTGTATATTGTTCTTTGCTAGTGCTTAATGCTTTCTAACTGCAACAGCATTCTATGCTGAGATGCAGAGTAACTTCTGGTTCACAATTACAGATTTTAGACTTTTTGTCAAATTTACATTTTAAGATGTACAATGGATATGAGCGGTTTACATTTCTACAAAATGTTTTGCTTGCATCTTGAGGTGGTCTGATTAAGTTATTGCTCCTACTCATCTGAGTAAGTTATTTTCTTTTGACAAATGTACGTGGTATTATTAAATCCAGTTCGCACTGTGGTCTTTGCGACTTCAAACCCTTTTTCGGGGGACGACAAACGTGTATATATATATATATACACACACACAGAGAGCTTCCATTGAGGGATCCCTCAAATAAGCTTATTTGAGGGATCCCTCAATGGAAGCTCTCTGTGTGTGTGTATATATATATATATACACGTTTGTCGTCCCCCGAAAAAGGGTTTGAAGTCGCAAAGACCACAGTGCGAACTGGATTTAATAATACCACGTACATTTGTCAAAAGAAAATAACTTACTCAGATGAGTAGGAGCAATAACTTAATCAGACCACCTCAAGATGCAAGCAAAACATTTTGTAGAAATGTAAACCGCTCATATCCATTGTACATCTTAAAATGTAAATTTGACAAAAAGTCTAAAATCTGTAATTGTGAACCAGAAGTTACTCTGCATCTCAGCATAGAATGCTGTTGCAGTTAGAAAGCATTAAGCACTAGCAAAGAACAATATACACATCAGACTACGTATTTATTTTTGGCACTTCTCTCATGTCTCATTGCATCCTCCTGCCAAAACAAACCAGAGCAGGGCATTATTAGTGAGGCCCTCAACTTAACAAGAATTGAGTAAAACAACAAATAATGTACATAAGAAACAAAATCCTTACATGAAATATGAACCCTATAGTTTCATTGTAATCGAGAAACCCCTTCCACTGTTTCCCAATGCTCAGCTGCAGCAAGAAAGTGGATATGAGACATCTTTGAAATTTTGTTATTATAATGAAACTCATTACTGTAAATAAAATAACAAAAGGTTGATGAAATGTCACTGTGCCATGTTTTCAAAGCAAGTGCCTTGTCCCCATTCTTTGGTTTTTGGAGTAGGTAATAAGTTCGCCTAAATGATTAAGTAATGTACAAAATAGATTACAAAACCACTGGTCTTAGCGGCCAAGTGTCCGCTGAACCACTATGGGTGGCGACATATTTGTTGCAACATATTTGTGGAAAGGGAGAAACACAAATTCATCAACTTAATCAATTCTTCTTCTTCTTTTTTCCTTGCAACCAGGATCACTAAAGCAACATAAACAAAATGCACAGCTATAAATAAATAGCAAGTCTGTCCTCACGCTAAAGCAACATAGATAAAAACTGTGATGCTGTAAAGTACTATCTAAGGAATACAAAACCTTTTGAAGGTTTCAAGTATGTGCTATGTCTTCATACAATATACGATATACAGGGAGTCTAGCAGCAATTACCTGAGCAGCTTCATTTATTGCATTCTTCGTCCAAATAGATATCTTTTCTTGCCTATTTCTGACGTTGACAACTGCTCCACAAATTTCATCTCCATGATCAAACTGTTCTCCTATCATTCCTAGCAACTAGTACCAGCAGATACAGACAATTAGGCCACACAAAAATATCAATCAACCTCGAATAACAATTGCAGTTTAGACCATACCGTATACAGCCAAGAAGTATCAGATTTCCCTTTAGGAAAAGTTACAGTCCACTTCCCTCCATTAGCACACACAGGATCCTCCCACTTTGGCTCAATTTTATATTTGAAACAATGGAAGTCCGTGCCAATAGCCAACTTGCTTGGATGACGTATATTATTGTAAATGCTGAATGCAAAACAGATTTTATGAGCACATGTGAGAATCATTACCAGGAAAAAATTAACAGAGGTAAACAACAAGCACGAGCACTGGATACAGTTTATTCAAATAACAACTTTGGAATAAGTTTTGTCCTTATAGAAGGGCCCAAAGAAAGTGTTTACACGTTCAGCTCAGCAGCTCAAACCCCTCAACAGGGGCACACATCTAATGATGACCAAGTATTTTTGTCACACAGTAATATAACCATGATTGCATAATTAACAATGCATGGATCGAATGCATCCATACTGATACAAATCAAAGCATCCCAAAGACCTATGGAAGCACCTTCTAGGAAGCAAATTCAATGAAAGATGATCTCGTCATTATGAATTACGATAAATCCAAATCACGAATAAACAGGAAACCTCTAAAATCCCATTTAAAACTAAAAGACTAGCAAGACTGGAAACCAAGGAAATAGGTACAACACCAGGTTGAATACAAGACTTTCAGGGCTAATACTATGAATAGCTAATCCTGTCAGCATGCGTTGATGTAAGACGGACATATGCTTAAAATGCAAGATCGGCAAATCTTATTCTAAATCAATCAAAGAGCTAGAGAGACAAACAACCCAAATCCAAACAAACACCAACAAAATATTTATCTCAAACAGAACCAAGTTACAAGTTCACAAAAAGGATAATAAAAGAAGAGAAAAGGTTGCAGTTACTGAGAAACTGTAGGAACGAAAAATTTGGACTTTCACAGTAGAGAAAGCAAACCACTATAAACCGCAAAGCTGTGTCACCTTAAACTTAAATGTTTTAACATTGCCTTTTCCATAATTGTTTTCTACTCTCGTCAATTCAATAGTTTCCCATTTCTTGGTCACCAATCAACATGAACCACGAAACGTGTCAAGTCCTTTCCTTTTCCAGAAATCCCCATTTCCCAAAAAAACCAAATCCAACAAAAAGATAATCACAAGAGACCCCAAGTCACAAACTACAACCAACACACACAAAACGGAAAAGATTAAATCTCGCCAACCAAACAAACTTAAATAAAGAAAACAAGAAATTAAGGAAGATTTCAAAATCAAACATAATGAAGCTAAAATTAAAAAGAAATGAGACCTCCAGAACTCCTCGACGGTACTGAAGGTATAGATCGGGCGAATGGAACTCCCCCAATCCTCTTGCTTAGTCTTAGCGGACTTTGCTGCGGGGCTATCGAACCAGAAGGTCCATGAGTGCTCCAGAGCATGAGACTGTGGCGCTATTCCTTTCGATGGCTTCGACGCCGATTCTTCGTCGCCCACGATCTCTCCTTCTTCGGGCTCATCGTCCTCTTCCCTTGGTTTAGGGTTCGTCTCGGTCTTGGCCTGATCTTCTGAAGCTGAAGTCTTGAGTGCGTCTTCGACCACCATTTTTAGGGCTTGCTTGGATTGGCTCAGTTTCTTGCTCGCTTTTCTTTCTTGGCGTTTCGTTTTGTGTTCTCTCAGTAAAACACTTGCCTTTCGATGGCGTTTCGTTTTGTGTTCTCTTATCTTATTTACACAGCAGCGCTCAGGCATCGTGTTTCGCCACGTGCTTTAAGTTCTAACGGATGACACGTGTTAAACCATCACGTGATCAGTAGCTCAGGTTGTGGGCTTTGGGCCCACAGCTCAAATCCAAAATTAAGTAAAGTCCAAAAAGGCCCAAACTTCTCAGGAGAATGGGCTACATAAATGTATTCATGTTAATTTTTTAATTTATTCATATTTTATATCTATTTATATTTTTATAAATTTTTTATAGGTAATTTGTTATTCTTTTTTGTGAAGCTAATTGGTTCTATATAGGTCTCTATTACGGTACTTTTTCTTCAAGGGAATGAGGATTTCTCACACACACATTACCAAGGTGCCGTGGGAATTTCTCATACATGCACATACACACTATTCTCGAGTTTGGTTATGTTTTATTTCAACTCGACAATATGCGTGAAACAATTGTGAACATGTGGGGCATGGATAGCCTGTTATAATACCATATTAGAATGTGAGCAAGATCTTGTAAGGTAAATTGCTAATGGATGAGGATGGTCAAGATCTTTTAAGCTCCTAAGCTAAGCTTATATCGAAAGCGTATGTACATTAATGGTTTCTAGTATATAAAAAGATACACGATAATTCATCACTTAGAACAACCACACATTTCATATTTCCTTTCATACAAAGGATTATACACAATATACAAAATAGGGAGCTAGCCAGTGTTTGAAACATTGGCAATGTACTATAATCAAATACTCCACACATAACATACCATCTGTCTGTGACATAGATTGACATGTTTTTATTGAAGCTATAGCGTTGATGTCATATATACAAAAAGAACGCTAAGCACATGCTGCCGTGCATTAATTATATGCACAACTTTATTCCCACACCATGCAGTGATATATGTTTACACAATATATTATATGTATATGATTTGATCATATGGATCGATCGATCGGCCATATATTAGTCAAGGGTTTTAGATTTTCATTTGCTCCAAGTATGACTTTCCATCAAGCTTATAGCGGGAGAAGAAATCATTGACGTACTTCTCCATCCCAACCCTTTTGAAGAGTGGTGGGTTTTCTGGGGTTATCAAGCTTCTCGCAGGCCCAATCTCTGCCTCAAACTTAGGGTTTATGAACATTGCAACTGACAACCTTTCCTTCTCTGAATTCACCATTGCCCTGTGCTCAATGCTGTGGTACACTCCATTGCTCAGAATCTACAAACACTTACACACCTTCAATACATATAGATAGTAATAAATTAATCTTTTTTATTATTATTTTTCATACTATAGTGTAATTTATGTCTTATGGTCAAACGCATATGATTTATAAAATATGAGGATGCAAGGGATTTGTAACTCGAGTGACTAAAAACAATTATCCCTCTTGTGTTCGAATCCCATTTTCAGGAGAGGGAGGACTTGTGCCCAAATGCACTTTAACTATTAGTTGGGGTTTCTACAAACTTTGACTATAGACATTCAATATGCCACCTTTGCTTTAGTTATTTTCCTCTTTAAATAATTATTTTGGTCGATCGATCGGTAGAAGAAAGAAGGATGAGGAAGATAAGAATACGACAAACCTCAAAGCTGTCCCCTACATTCACAACAAAGGCATCTTTTTGGAAGTTGACAGGCATCCAAACCCCATCTTTTTTGATTTGGAGACCATCAACTCCATTAAGCTGGTTGAGGATGGTGATCCCAGTTGCATCTGAGTGAGGTGAGAGCCCCATCACCTGCTCTGGTTGCGGGCATGGAGGATAGTATGTCATCCTCACTGACCGCATCCCATCGTCAAACGTCTCCTCTATCTCTCTCATCTCTATCTTCAGAGCCTTCCCCATAAACCCAAGAAGTCTCATGGCCAGCTGATCCAGTTCCAGCAAGTATGAATCCAAGGTATTCCTGGCACAAGCCCTTAAAAAAGTCAACTCAAAGAATCAAAAGTTTAAGTGCATGTGTACTTGATGTATACACATGGAGATATAAATATATAACTTTTCTCGGATATCTGAGCGTTTGAATGTGAGAGAACGATTGTATATATACGAGATCTTTTAGTGTGTGTGTGAGAGAGTACCTGAGGGATGAAGGGAGCTCTGGGAAGAGATAAGGCTTTCTTCGATGAATAGGGTTGGTTATCATGTAGACCCTGTCACCCCAGTCAAGCTTTTGGTCTTTGGTGTTGACTACGGATCCATAGCCTTCAACTTCACCTGGCCTGATCTTATATTTCATTTTCTCTTCCAAGGGAAGCTTAAAGAATTCTTTAATCTCATGCTTCAGCTTCTCCAACAGCGTAGGGCTAACTCCATGGTTCACCAACTGTAGAAAAAAATTACAACATGCAAGATTGATTATTATATATATTTCACTCCAACTCTATTGCCATTAATGAGACATATAACCAAATATATATATAAGAATTAAAGTGTATACCAGGGTCTAAGAAATTTGAGATACTTCGAATACAGACCTCAAAGATGCCCCAGTCTTTGCAAGTTGAGTGCAGTTTTTCCAGTTGATCTGCAAAGTCTGAGGCTTCTGCCTTAACTAATTTGGTCATGTCAATGGAGGGGATGGATGGGAAGGTGCCCTTATGACCATCAAAGAGAGATGAGGCTGGTTCTTGTTCCACGGTACGAACATAACATTCTGGGACTGAAGTGAGGGGCTGTTTGGTGATTTCCAGGACGCTCAAGAGTGAATTGGAGCTCTCAAAGCCTGCTGGTAGCTGCGATACTGATGCCATTTCTTATTTCTTATATGATTAGTGATTGCTCAAGTGTAAATTTATGGCTACCTGTGCACTATGTTTATATAGGCAGAAAATGGATGGCAAAACCGTAAATATACTAGGTTTAGGCTCATATTTCTATCTGCAGGTTTTCAGGCAGACATATGTTAATTTACATCTCCTCTTCTTTCATGCATGTTGCTGTTGTACTCCTGTCCTGCTACACAAAGCAGTACTATAATATAGTAATTATATGGAGATCAATTGACAATATATTTGGAACACAAAATTACAGTAATATTTCTCTCTACAGTTTCACCTACATACTTTAACTTAAGTTTGTGATTAATTAACACTTTTATATTGACACAATTTTTGGGCCATTAGATTACTCTACTTTCAATGGATGAGATTATACTTGATATTTTTTTCTCTCTCTTTCCGCTTCCTCTTTACAACACGTTCTCTACTATCTCTCTCTCTCGTCAAACCAAAAAAAAAAGAGTGGTGATTTCCCCACTCCTTTTTCTCCTATTTTATCCACTTACACTCCTTTTTTATAACTAAAAAAGGAGTGTAAGTGGATAAAATAGGAGTGGGGAAATCATTGCCCAAAAAAAACCATCTTGCTCTACTATCTCTCTCTCATCAAACTTTAAAAAAAAAAAAACCATCTTGCTCTTCACTGTTTCTTTCTTTCCGTTTATCTCTTCAATTTTTTTGCTTCAGCTGCTCAAACCCTTGTGTCTTGATATTCTAATGAAATCCTACATATTAGGTGAAAAGTCCCCATTTTTACTTTGTTTTCCCTCTTTTTTCTTTAATAAAAAAATGCCAAGTTGGCTTACCTTTCAACAAGCTTGGATCTTATGGTGAAGAAGAATGATACCCAAGTAATATTTTGAATTTGCACAAACTTCCTTACTGCTACTATCTGTAAGACTTGAGAAATTGTGGTAAAATTGATTCGTATAACTTCAATTTACCAGTTTCTTTTTACAAGACCAGGGCAATATTATGTGTTAAGGTTTTTAATGGCTTGGTTCAAAGTCGAAAGCAAAGATTAAAATCCATAAATCCTAAACCCAAAGATTTAGAAACATTAACAAAAATTTGAAACCCATTGATATGAATAACTTCATTTCTAGAGACGTACCTATTCTTGTAGTTAAATAGAATGAAAGAAAGAGAGAAAGAACAAGAAGGTTTTTTGTTTGTTTGTTTGTTTGTTTGTTTGTTTTTTTTTTTGTCTGATAAAAGAAAGAGTTAGTAGAGAACGTGATGGGGAAGAGAAAGAGGAGAGGAAAAAAAAAAACTTTGGTGAGAAATTTACCAACCCGACAGAAAATAGAGAGAAGAGAGAGAAAAATATTTTAATTTATTTTTTATGTCAAAAATCCATGTCATATTTAATTTTATCCATTGAAAGTGGAGTAATCTAATGGCCCAAAAATTGTGTCAAAAATATAGTGCAACGGATCCGGCCCCATATATATATATATATATATATTATGTCAAAATAGAAGTATCTAGAAGGAAGATGTGTAAAGTGTAGTGATATTAAAACTTCAAAGATTGAAAGTGAGAGGATATGCATTTGATGAGTAATTTTTTTCAGGAAGGAATAATGCACTTTGCTTCTTCTAAAAAATAGAAGCATATATGTTCATGAATCCATTGATGAACTCAAGTATTCAACCACCCAGATGAGATAATATATCCATTAAGGATTTTAAGAGATCGATCTAATCAATGTCAAATTTTGTTATGAAAAAAAAAAAGTACAAGCGTTCGCTTTTGTTTTTGTCAAATTTAGACCCAAAAATAGTACAGAAATGGTTGGAAAGGTCATTTTGAGTGCATTTCCAGTATCCCATAAAATTCGTGGGTGCAAAATCGATTTCTGGGCTTCGTGAAAATTTGATGAATGCGTTAAAATTGCAGGGAACAATCCTTTTAGGTGACAGCTGATATGTGCTGAACAGTAGTATATAAATCTTTTACAGAAGAATAATGTTGCGGCCATTTTATAATAGCTTGACACACTTTCCATGAATCTTTATATCATTTGAAAAATATGTAACATACTCTGAATAAACTATTTAGATGACTTTTGACCAAATTGGCATACATGTTTCATCATTATGGTTAATTAGCTGGTGATCAGTTACTCTGGTCTAGCAGCACTCATGAATCATGAAACCAAACTTTATTATCATCAGTTCCCTTATCTCTTTGCAATATAATCTAGGAAAACAAATTTGTACATGGGAGGGATGGACCGTTGTGTCTTCCATACGGAGGTAGCTTCGATACCATATTAGAATGTTAGCATCCAACTCAAACCCAAGTGACAATGAGTAGAGAGCTCGAGATCTTTAACACTATTATTACAACTCAGAACACCTGGAAAAAGATTGCATACATCTAAAATCAATGAGAATCATTTTTCCTTAGGTGTACTCGACTGTTCTTCTACTGATCAACACTATCTATATCATATGTGTCAATAACAATTATATGCACAATTTTCTACATTTAAAAACAAGTTTTGAGGTTGCGTAATGGATCCTAATGGATGTTTCTTTCGATCAGAACTTACGGAATGAATTGTTTAAGATGCTAAATAAAAAAAACGTGCTTAATGATCCATTTTTTTCCTATAAAAGCTGATACCTGTAATTTGACTCTTGATCTCTCATGTAATAGTTTACGGCAAACTGGATACACGTCGTCTGACTATGAGTACCAATCGAATATTAATTCATTGTTTAGTATTTTAAGAGCACGTTTCTGATTGAGACAAGCTAATCATGAATTCATTGGGCGGACATATTCAATTCACTTAAATAATGGGAACGATCGTCATCAATGATGGAAAATTTTCGGCCCGTCATCTTGATATGCATGCATACATACATACATACACATACCATGCATGGATGCATGCTAATAAGGATGATGGTTGAGTGACATACATGTTTCATTAACTCCTGGTCCTGGAAAGTAATTATAATGGTTGTTAGTCAAGGCATTAGTCATAACCAACAATAATATAGAACTGATGATCAAAGTTACTACATAAAGTAGTAAACAAAGAAAATCCAATTAGAAGTGGTAAATCTCTTAATCGAATCTATTTTTTAGGTGAAATCTACACGTGCTTTGACTAATTTGTGTTGATACAAACCATATTAATGGTGGTAATGATGATCTGATATATCTTCACGGCAAGCTAACTAATAACCCACTACTTGATTAATTATAGCAGGACTCGTTCAAAATTCGTACGCACGGCATGATGGAAAATTTATGTTGGTTTTGACATATTATACGACACAAAAGATTTAAGTCTTCTGCGTACAAGGTTAGAGTAGAGGAGGCCTTAGGTATAACCAAGGGCGGAACCAGAAATTTTTCAACGAGTGGGCTAGCTAAAGTTATTAGCTTTAAAATTTAGTGATTTTTTTTTTTTTTGGTACTTACAATTTCTATAGTCTTTCTAGAAATAAAAGTAAACATTAAATCATATAAACCAAGCTAGTTCATAGCTCCATAGACTAATTTTCAATAAGTTTTAACATAAACCAAATAGGGTTTAACACCATAGTGGATTGAACATCTAAGATTTTTTTACCTAAATTGATCTTAGGTTCTTTCATGCATTCATATCATAGATGAAAAGTTATTTTATGTAAAAATATTGACTAAGTATGAAAAATGGGTTTTCGAAATAATCATTTTCTTAAGATAATTTTTGGCGGCTTTTATTCCTTACACATCAAATAAGAAAACTTGATTTTATGGGATTTTAGTATGAAGTATATATTGACTTAATGAGCCATTATTTTTAGACTAAATCGTATTTTGCACTAAAACCGATTTTTCATATTTTGATTTAGTGGAAATTTGATTTTCTAGTATTTTTATTTGAATCCAAATAGGGGGTACTTCCTTATTTACATTGTAAACTTAAGTAAATGGAGTAATATAAAAATAAATAAAAGTAAAATGACAAAGACATTTACTTAAATGTTGAAAATGGAAATAAGGTAATCTGTACAGCGCCACTGACTGGGCTAATACTGAAAATAAGTTAAATATATATATAAGTTTTATATTTTTTTTCTTAAAAAACCACACTGGGCTACAGCCCACTGTAGCTCTTAGTGTGGTTCCGCCCCTGGGTATAACCAGGGAAGGCGAAGGCGAAGGCGACAGCCTCTAGACCTGCACAACATACGCTTGAAAGATTACACTATGATATGATATCAAAGTCTATCTAAAGAAGTTACAGCATAAGTTATTATCTGTATTCAACCATTGAATTCGTATTAATTTCATTACATTCAAGGTCAGGGCACTACTATATTGTGGGCGATAGCCATTTTTATATGCCTCTTCCTTTTGGATAGCCTGAAGGGGCACATAGAATATTTGCTCATGGTGGACAAATCTTTTTGTTTTTGTTTTTTTATAGTACAAATGATAGTCTAAACTAAATGGGATGATGATTTTTCGCACATACAATTATGATGTCGTGGGAATTCGAACCAGAAACCTCTTGCTTGCAAGTCAAGATATTTTTCACTTGACAAATCTAGAAAGTAATACTGTCAGGGTAATTAATTATTTGATAATTGACTAAAGTAAAGCTGATGCAATTCTAAACTAACCTCATTCAAAGCATTTTTGACTTAGTATACGAATTCTTACTATATGCATGTATCCTAGAATTGGTCAAACCATGTGGAGGATTTGAAATGTCATTGGCAGAAAACACAAAAACGAAACAAAAATCTTGATCACAGAGATCATATATATATATATGAAAATCTTGGACTTGAACGGTCAAATGGTGGTGGGAGTGTGAGATCATAGTATAAACCGTTGGGTTAATAGATTCAGATTCAGACCAAATAAAAGATATTGTTGGATACCTGTGGTTTAATATGGAAGATTAAATGAGATAATACATTTGAATAAGAATTATATTCCAATTTGACAAGCTTCATGATGAGATAATGCATCTCTAAA